AGTGTTGGGATGGGAGACCAAGGTTCATAAGAAGGTTGCACACGGGTCCACTGATCCACTTGGAACTGGTCTATGACGTTGGCCACCAGGCAGTTCGGGGGGAGTGTCACTGCTGAACATGATTGTCACTGTTAGGTCTGATCAAATAATTGAATCAATGATAATTGAAGTCACCCCTTTAGGCCACTTCACAAGGGACATTCCCTTTTGCTTAGACCACATTCCACTTGCTAAGACCATTATCTTTCCCCTTAAAACCCGCCCAGAGAATTCTCCACCCAGAGAATTCTCTGCCCAGAAAAAGCCTGCCTAGAGTCCTTTAAAATCTCTGACTCCCCGTCCCTGGGTGCTGGTGCCATTTGGGGGCTCAGCCCATCTGGTATCCAGATGACCTAATCCTATGTAATAAAAGCCTAATATGCAATTGTCCCCTTGGGTGGGCAGTCGACTGGGAGACCGGGAGTTTGACCGCTTGCTATGACATGCCACTGACCACCAGGGGGTGGCGCAGAACTTGGCGGGCAGCAGTGGAGGTGCTGCTGGCCCTGATGGGCCCCAATGAGAGCGAGAGCAGGACCGTGGTGGGATGGTGGAGCAGGGCAGGTGTGAGCAGATCGCCCAGCAGAGGGCATCACCCTGCTCCCAGGCCCTAAGGGAGAAAGGGCAAATAGCAATATTAAAATATTTCTTCTAATTATTTTCCTTTCAATGTGCATTACTTCGTGCATGGGGCCACTAGTAAATTTATAACCCCTTACCACTTTGGCCTTGTGCATTCCTCCTTTGTCAACCCTAACACCCCTCACATTTTCAAATGTGAAAAAGCGAAAGCTCTTGAATAGGCCCAAGCACAGAACCTTGCACAATTCTGAGCCCTGTGGTCGTTTGGAAGCCCAGGGTTAAGAAATGCTGTAGCAGGACTTTCCACTGGGGAGGTGAAGAGAAGCACAGAGCAGTGATTTCTGTTTTCAAAGTGTGGGTCAAGGACCTAAAATATGAGGAAGTCACAGCACAAAGCTATTTATAAAAATATAAACTACATATCATACAAAATAGTGCAATTGAGGCACTTTGAGAGACCTAAGCTGTAACTTTTTGCACATGAGAACAGAAGGCCTCTCATTCACAGACAAGCTCCGTTTACGGGAAGCCTTCAGATAAACAACAGCCACAGCTGAGAATATTTAGGAACTTCCCTTCCCCTCCCACAGCAACTGGGGGATTTCTCTTCCATCCCCCACACGAGGCCTCCATCTCCACCACAGCCACACAAGCCACCTTCGGTTGCTGTTTCCACTTTGTACAGTGATGGCCACGGTTGGTGAATACAGTGGTGTCCTGAAAGGCGAGAAGGCAAAAGGAAGGAGGAGGTCAGAGGAAACTGTCCCTTTCATCCTGGTCTGTACTCCTCCCCAGAGTCCTAGGGGGGGTTCAAAGGGGAGAGGACTGCAGGAGCTGAGGGCACACTGACTGTGCCCTGAATGCATTATAGATACTCCTTTATTCCTTAAGGCAGCCAGGTGGGGCCCCAGGCTCCAAAGCCTTTTGCCTCTGCAGTCTCATCTGGTGTGCCTTCAGGTGCTGCTGGGGCAGAGGAGAATTTAATGATGCACCATGAGGTCTGTCGCCACAGGTCTGAGGGACGTCCACCTGGAGATGCTGAGTGGGCAGCTGCAGGGGGCCCAGGTCCTTCCTGAGGAAGGGCTTTGTGTTTCAGGTAACAGAGGAGCCTGGCTAAAGCCAGCAGGGGGCTGGGGCATGAGGTGGGGCTGGTGGTTCCCCAGCTGGGGAGGGAGCCCTGAATCTGCTCCTCCACTGGGCATCTCATCTCTGGGCTGACTTACTGCCTTTTTAATAGTGTCCAAGCTAATTGATCAAAGCAAATTAAAGGTTTGTAATTTTGAAAGATTTAATATGAAAAAGTTCAATTACAATCATAATCCACTGATGTTATTTTAAGAAAGTTAACTTATGTCAATCAAAGAAAAAGAAGAGCTACTGGGTTTTTAAGCTACAATTTCAACTGTTTAAAAATTTTTAAAATTATAATAATGTTTTTTAACTTATTACCTCTGTCTTTACAGTTTCTCACCTGAAGGTTATTTTCAGAAGTTTGAAGAGATCTTATTCAAACATCTTAATTGGTAAATATGTATAGTTGTTACAACAAACCATATAGAAAAGAACTTATGCTCATGAAATCAGGCTCAAGTTCCTCTTAACTTTAAAAATACCTTATTGCCTAGCCGCTTTGGCTCAGTGAATAGAGTATCGGCCAGGTTCTATTCCAGTCAAGGGCATGTACCTTGGTTGCAGGCTCCTCCTCAGCCTGGGCCCTGGCCAGGGCTCGTGCAGGAGGCAACCAATCTGTGTTTCTCTCTGTCTTTCCCTCCCTCCTCCACTCACCCTAAAAATCAATGGAAAAATATCCTTGGGTGAGGATTTTAAAAAAAAGCACATAAATAAATATCTTATTTAAAGCTTTATTCAAACTTAGTATTTAATTATTTTCCTCTAATACTTTGCATTTTATTGTTATAATTTAAGAAAATTGAGCACATTTTTTCAACAATTCACAATATGTATACCCTAATTTATTCCAATTTATCTCAGGATTCTCTAAAACATTGGATTTTACAAATATGAAAAAGATTGAAAAGCAATATCCTATGTTATATTTATTAAAGTAGTGTCCCATTTGAGGTTCCATAGACCAATGCACTGTCCAGGCAATCTGCCATTCATTCCATGAGTAAATAAGTCCTGATTTTCAAACTACAGATTACAAACCCATTACTGTCCCTACCTGTAGGCGGAGAAAGCCTCTTCAGGTAAACTGGCACTAGTCACAACTTATTTTAAAGTGCATTTTGTTTCCTGGGAACAGCTTCAAGAGAGCTGTTTTGTAATGTACTTTACCATGACTTCTTGAGTAACTCATTCTGCTGTGCAGTCTGGCTCAGGTGTCTTCTAGTTGGCCAGTTTAAACCCCACTTTGCTAGCTCTCTTAAAAGAACAGGATCGCTTTTGTAAGCCCATGTCAACAGTACTGATCAAGAAAAATGCAAGCAGTCTGCAAAATTTTTCTTTCTTTTTAGTTCTCTCTTTTTCAGCCTCTCTGAGCCATGAGATCCAATCTTAGAGTTTTAAAATGTTTTTGAGTAACACCTCTTAATTCATCCTGCTAGATGAAATCTGCTATTGCATAAGTCCTCAACAGCCTGCGGGAACCCTGCTGGAGCAACCGTCTCACCAGCCCCCTAAAATGCAGCTCTCTTAGGAAGACCTCTATGTAGGAAGTCAGGCTAATACTTAGTTCCCAGAAGATTAGGTGTGGTTTAGTGATCTCATTCAGTGGGTGGGGGCAGGAATGGTCCCATGGTTCTATTTTTAAAATGCTTCTAATAAGATCATCCTTTGTTGCTCAAATACAAACAAGCAATGGTGGAGAGACTTGTCTCACATTACCATTAGCGGTATCGACCTGGCCAACCTGGTTTCGAGAGTAAAAGGCGTTCAAACTTCACTTTCAGTCAAGACTGGGATCATCTGCTCTTGAGACAGGGCCATATTCCACGGAGTCCCGGCCCAGACCAGCGGGGCTTCGCCTCCCTTCCTGGGCATGCTGCCCCTGACCAGTGAGAGCCCTAGGACTGGTTCAAGTAGTGCTCCCTCTCTCCAGAACCAGAAAGACAATTCCCTAAGAAGGGCTTCTCCTCCAGGACCTGGGATCCCGCCACTGCCTGGGGCAGGGGCAGGATTCCCGCAGAGTTCCAGGGGTAGAACACATCCCCAGTCATTCCTGTCACAGCACTCTAGTATTTAAAATAATTGGGGGAGGGGGGTGATTTAGCGCATAGTAATCCATTCATTTCTCCCCATTTTGGGCTCTCTTTTAACCACTGTGCTATCATCTTCCTCTGTACCTGGCCATAAGCACTAGGAAATGATGAGTGTTAAGATAAACAACCCAATAAAAAAAAAATGGGCAATGGACCTAAATAGATACTCTTCGAAAGAAGACAAAAGAAAGGCCAAGAGACATATGAAAAATATGCTCAAAGTCACTAATTATCTGATGCAAATCAAAATGACAATGTGGTACCATCTCACACCTGTCAGAATGGCTATCATCAACAAACCAACAAGTGTTCCGGAGAAATCCTCATGCACTGCTGGTGGGAATGCAGACTGGTACAGCCACTGTATGGAGTTTCCTCAAAAAACTAAAAATGGAACTCCCATTTGACCCAGTGATCCCACTTCTAGGAATATATCCCAAGAAACTGGAAACACCAGTTAGAAAGGATATATGCACCCCTATGTTCATAGCAGCACAATTCACAATAGCTAAGAATTGGAAACAGCCTAAGGGCCTATCAGTAGTGGATTAGAAAACTGTGATATATCTACACAATGGAATAAACTAAAAATGGAACTCCCATTCGACCCAGTGATCCCACTTCTAGGAATATATCCCAAGAAACTGGAAACACCAGTTAGAAAGGATATATGCACCCCTATGTTCATAGCAGCACAATTCACAATAGCTAAGAATTGGAAACAGCCTAAGGGCCTATCAGTAGTGGATTAGAAAACTGTGATATATCTACACAATGGAATACTACACTGTGGTAAAAAAGAAGTTTTTTTTACAACGGGGGTGAGGGTATGAGTGTGTGTGTGTGTGTGTGGGGGGGGTGGAATGGGGATAATGTGGGGATAAGGACACATATGTAATACCTTAATCAATAAAGTTTTTTTAAAAAGATCCTACAAGGAGGCCTTGCTTCTCACTTCTGATAGCCCAGGTCCGCCAGCAAGTCTCATGTGACTTCCTGGGGTCAGAATAACAATTCACTTTCCGATAAACCCTAGTGCTCTAGAGCCAGTTTGAGGCAGTTTTGAGGGAGCTGGGGTTCAGGAAAGGGCAGGGCGCAGCCTCAGAGTGGTGGGGGTTGAATCTGGGCCCTACAGGCACACCAAGTCCAAGTGGTTCAGGTGGAGGGGATGCCTGCCTTATATTTTCTCTCCTCCTCCGGGCTGTCACGCCAGATGTCTGTCATAGTAGGCGCTTGATACTAAGGCAGTATGGGGGGGGGGGGGGAGGCGCGGGTGCGACTCAGTAAGTATTGGGAATGTCCCGCCAAGTGCATTTCGTGGAGAGAGGCGCTAATTCCCTAGAACTTTCTTCCAGCTACACCTGGAGTAAAAGCTTTCCACTCGAGAAGGGCGAGCACTGTGAACGATCTTTGATCTTCTTTCCAATAGGACAGAGAATGCCGGACTCACAGCTGGGGAGAGGAGGAGACCGGTTGACACACTTCCTAATGGGGCGGTAGAATAAAATAACCAAGTCCAATAAGGAACAACACCAGGTCTTTCTGGCCGAGTACACTAGCCCCCTCCAAGTGCGTGTCCCCCAGGTTCCCGCCCAGCCTTTCGCACCCTTTCACCCCGTGTGTGGGTGTGGACCACGGAGAGTGGCTGTGTGTGTGTGTGTGTGTGTGTATGTGTGTGTGTGTGTGTGTGTGGACCTGAGCAGGAATCTGGACGAGGTTAGAGAAGGCCAGACGCTGCTGCGCCTCCTGCAACGCGGCGGGGACAGCTGGCGGCTCTTCTGCCCCCCGGGGCGTGGTGGCACGGGACAGGGACAGAGCCTGGACCTAGGACACTGGAGTGACCCCGAGGGCTCAAGCGCGTAAGGAAATACGATCTTCTTCCAGGGACCAAGGGGTGCGGAGACCCTGGCGCTTTATAACTCCGCCATTGGGGCGCCCTCTACATCAGGTCCCAGGGAGAACTCAGGTGTCTCAGGCCCTCAACTGCGGTCCGGGGCCCCTAGGTGGCCTGTAGATCCCGACTCCAGCGCTCTGGGCGCGACCCACTCCAAGCAACGCTCGCTCCTCCCACGTCGCGACTTCAGCTCCGCCCGGGTCCCCGAGGGCAAAAAAAAGGGGGGGGGAGGGCGGAATTTCCCAGCGCGGGGGCTCTGGCTTCCCCACAATTCTTTCTGTTTACGGAGAGAAAGGGGAAATGGAAAGGGCGGGGAGGCGGTGGCTAGCACACGCTGCGCCGCCACCCGGCCGGGTCAGACGCCGTGAGTCCGGGCCATCGAGGACGGACTGGGCTGGTTTGTCCGCTCCGGTCTTGACGACGGAC